CGCCGTTTGCGGTTCAAATGTAATAGTCTCCTTTTAGCTGACATAGCATGTCGACTGTTTTGTGCCTTTGATTAAAATAACATTTTAAATGCTTTGAACAAACATATCTTCCCCCGTTCTTCTAAAGGATTATTTTACATATTTCTTGGTGGAATAAAGAAATTTTCATTCTTCCTGTCGCAACGCAGAAAAAGCTAAGAATATCTTTCGTCGCATAGAAAGTGAAAATATTATAGGCTGTTGCATTATTACCCCAAAAAGAGAGGAGGAGGAGGTGGGAGAGTGGGGGGAAAGCTGCCTTAGAGATTAAGTTTCCCTTTTATGAAATCGTATTTAGTCTCTTTTTTTAACAAATCTAACAACAATGCTCTACAGCCTCTCACTGGGAAATACCTTTAGTGTTAAATACAGATTCTGATTTTCTTGGCTAATGCAGAAAGCCCTTCTATTGAAAAATAAATAAGGGGCTTGGTATATCCTACTAAAGCCCTTTCAGTGAATGACTTCTGTGGGATTTTTTTTCCATGGCTACTCTCCATGGCTGTAATGTGAAGCTTTTATCCTACTGTTGAGAACTATCCTCTACATTTAAAGAAGAAGAAAAGAAGAAGACAAAAAGGAAAAGGGGGATTGGAAGGTGAGCAAAACCCTAAACCAAAATAGGACACTTCAAACCTTTTTTTATCTCAGAATTTCAATCACTAATTTGCAAAAACCTTGCTATTGCCATAGGTAATTTTTACCCTATGTTAAAAGAAAAGAGATAGAGAGGAAGAAATCAAATGAATTGCTTATTTTATTCTATTAGGAGATTCAAAATCTCAAACTCATTTCCATTTGATCTCTGGTTTGGCAGGGGACAAGATTAAGATTGAAGCTTCCTCTTGCTTTGCTTGTTTGCATGTGTTTATTGGCATTGTTATTCTATTTGCCAATATGTGAGGCTGGGACAAGGTTGGGCGGGGGTACGTTTTGCAAATCTGCCATACCGAAACCAAAAGTGTAATAGAAATCTCTTAAATAGCTCAACCCAAAGAACCTGCACAGAAATGGAGCTGGGAAAACAAGAACATAAAACAAAGATGGGAAAAGCAGATGTACCTATACAAACTAAGGAGTCATCTACCCAAAATTAACTGCCTGCAAAGTGCTTGTCAACATGACAGTTGGGCAAAATATGAAGGTGTCTACTGATGTGCACATACAACTTTTGGCCTTCAATACACCATTTCACTTTCCTCTAAAACACTAGATTCTCTAATGAGAGAAAGGAAAGGCTTGCATTACAGGAACAACAATTGGCGGGTGAGGGGGGTACACTTAGCCTGCCCATGATCATCCCAGTCATGAACAACGAAGCCAATTCCTAACTGCATTTTTTGATCACAGTACAACATAAAAGGATTCATACAAATGCAAAGGTTGGGTGCTTTCTTCAATCAGAAAATGAGAGATTAGGGGGACCTCTATGCTCTGCCTCGAAGGTTAAGATCATCAGGGGAGACCCTGCTCTCGGTCCCACCTCCTTCGCAGGGGAGGTTAGTGGAGACGAGAGACAGGGCCTACTCAGTGGTGGCCCCATGTCTATGGAACTCCTTCCCCAGCTAAATTAGGTCAGCCCCCTCCCTCCTGACCTTCAGGGAAAAAAACTAAAAATGTGGCTATGGGACCAAGCTTTTGGTCAGTAACTTTGAGCAGTACAATATATGATTACAAAATAATACGACAAATGGAAAGGCCCTGGATTATGATTTGTATTTTAATCAATGTTTTAATGTTTGATGTTTTTAACTGTTTTGGATTTTAATATATTTGCTATGTATATGTATGGAATCGAATTATTGCCTTTGTAAGGCTGTTCTGAGTCCCCTTCAACATGAGAAGGGCAGGGTACAAATGTGGTAAATAAATAAGTGAAGTTAACATATATATCTGTTAAAAAGCAAATAACACTGAATTATTAGTATCTTGTCAGGCAAGAAGGCATAGTTCAACTCTTTTCCTCCCTACTGCAGTTCCTAACAACATTCATCCAAACAACCATCATTCACCTGAAGATGTAATTTACTACTGGTCAATTTGTTCTCAAAACAAACAGCAGCCCCAAAACACTAATTCTAACAACATCATGAGGGGTGCTCCTGATAATTAACATTGTGAGTCTGACAAATGAAGGATAACTTCACCTAGTTTGTTTCTGATATGCTTCTATAATACTTTGACAACATCATATGTGCTTGACATTACAGCCAATGTCTATGACCCTGATTTTTGTGGATCATATACAACCAATGTCATCATTGCTTTATGATTGGAAAAAACATGATTTTGTTTAAGATTGCACATACTTTATCTTCCAATTTGAAAATGTCATTCCATATTTTTTGTGAATTATGCTAATTTACCTTTGTATATTATGCCATTTGTTGCTATTTACTAACAAAACACACTTGATTCATCTTGCAATAGTCATGGGAACAGAACAAACAGCTCCAAAATCCCTAGTCTAAAGCACCAGGACAGCCAGCACTTACTCACTAGGGACCCTTCCAGACAATCTCTTCTGAGATTGTACCAGATATTCAGAATGTATCCCCCATTCTTAAAGAGGGGAACATGGTCTAGAACTGAACTAACCACAAGAAAAATACTTTTTTTAGAGAAATATTAGAACTTCTGCAGACTGCCAATCCATCACTACAAGTGGACGTGAAAATAGCTGTATATACATAAAGATATGAAACTAAGAGGATATTTACACAACCATTTCATCCCTTATATACACAGCACAGAATGAAAAATGAGTACTGACTACTACTAGCCCATATTCTACTTTTACTATGATAGCTGCTCAATTCATGCTCTGGATTCAGGAGGCATTGTTCAAATTCCACCAGCAAATCAAGGCAACATATGAAGAAACACAGGAAACTGGGAAGGTGCCTCATACTGAACCAGACCAATGGTCTATCCAGTCTGAGTGAGGTCTATGCTGTTTGGCAGCATCTCTCCAGGTTTTCAGACTAAAAGCCTTCCCAGCCCTACCTTGAGATGCCAGGGATTGCTTTTCTTCCTAACAGTAAGATCCAGAAACTGTCAATGGGAAATCATCCTGACATTCTCTGAAAAATCAAAGGACTAGAAGAAAAGAACAGAGGTGTAAAGAGAAACCAGCTCCACATTCAAGAAAATGCACAATGCACAAATCTTAGATAAAAATCTTTGCCCCAATATATTCAGCTATAGCTACAAAAATTTTCCCCAAACTATCGTTTGGATTAGCTGTAGTTTGTTTTCAAACCAGGAGTGTATTCTATGGAAAGCTGTAAAGAAAAATGTTACCTTCCTTTGCATGCCATACAAAACAATTCAGTCCGCTTTCTATAATGCCCCTGTAATGAGACCACTGGTGACCTAGGGTCCTTCCAGACAGGCCCTATATCCCAGGATCTGATCCCATGTTTTCTGCTTTAACCTGGATTATATGAGTCCCCACTGACAGATAATCTGGGATAAACAGAAAGCATGGGATCAGATCCTGGGATATAGGGCCTGTCTGGAAGGGGCCCTAGTAAGAGATAGATAGCAGTTGGGTGGTCTTAACCTGAACATCCAACCTCACTTCAATGTCCAAGTAATATATGGATATATATAAAAAAATATTCCATAGTGTAGTTAACCTATAACCTGAGAATAGCTCAAATGCTGTTCCCCACTGTACTCACAGAAATTAATTTCTAAGCTGAAACATTATGTGATCTTTTGTTGTTGTGTTTTGCTTTCCACCTATATGTATCTCCTCAAAGGACACAAGGCCAATGAGACCAATTCTGCTCAAGGCAAGAGCATCAGGACCAGTCCAGCTCCTGATTTGGCTTTGTATTGGTCTATCTACAGCACAAGCCTACATCAATTTGAAATTGAATTAACTGAGGTGGAGCACATGGCACATTCATGAAGACAAGAAGAGTCCTCTCCAAGAGCCTCAAGAATCTCACAAGAACTGAAATAGCTAAGAATACATTTGTGGTAAGTATGGGGAGAGGGCTCAAGAAAATTAAACCTAGTTTATATTCATCATCTAAAAACCTTTTTATTCAGGCTCAAGTCCTCTTTCCATTGGAGTCAAATGCCCTTTATACGGTGACCTTCCCTCCTACATTGCAAAAAGTGAAACTATCTACTTTAATGGTCAAGATCAGAAAGCTCAGGATTTAGCCAAGATGTCTAGCCTTACCAAGCCCAGATGTGAATCTGGCTTGGGTGCTTTAGAATGTTATTTAGCCTAAATGAAAAAGCTTGGTAGGGCTAGGCACTAAAACACCACACTTGCTGCTTTTCTCAGGCTTCCAAGATAAAACCAAGGAAACCGTGGTAATGAGGCAATTCTTATCTGGAAAGAATATGTATTTATTGTTCAACAAAGAACGCTATATCAGTATCTCTTATCTCTGGCTTTGTGTTCTGGCTCTGGTTGCATTCCACACTGCACAATGTAGATGACGTCCCACTCTACACTTGTAGATTGGGCTATGACAGTAGCCCAGCAGAAGTACTGCCCTGTAGTATAGACTAAATGGTGCAATCCATTTATGCCTCTCTTTTGTGAGAAAGAAGATATCTGTCTTTCCATAATATCATAGTTATGCTTCCACTGGATTATTACAGTAGCCTATCATACTAAGGCACATCAGGATCTAGGTTAGCAGTTATTCTACAGCCCAGCTTGATCTGCAAAGGCCTCTCCATAGACTAAGGCACCAAGCAAATCATCTCCAGAATAGGATCAATTGAGGCCACCAGCAAGAGGTTCCTCAATGTCCATAAAAGTCTTGTGAATTTTTGACAGACTTCTAATAAAGTCATAAACATTCTAGATAATCAGGAAATCTGTTTTTCTTTCTTTTTTTAAAGGCAAGGTATGGAGGGGGGCAGACAGGAAGGAAGATTAAGAGAGAGAAACTACCTCTGCAGTTGACTTAATGTAAAACATGCTGTACCTGCAGTGTTCTCCTGCTTGGGGCAAATTCCTTTTGTAGGCGTGAGAAGACGATCTTCTTCATCGGGTGTGACTTGGATCCCGATTTCCACTGGCTCTGACACTTTCCTGAGCTCGGAGCGTGACGAAGGGGGAGGACTGCTCTTATCCAGATTCTTTTCATAGCAGGCACCTCCAGCGCCATTGCACTGTTTCTTCTTGTGCTCTATAAAAACCAAGATGTCTCCCAGGGGGAAGTTCATCTGACACTGTCCACAGGTTAATAGGTCGGGGTCGGCTCCACCCGTTACAATGCTGAGCCCCAGTGGCTCTCCTAATGTTAGGCTCTCATCCTCGTGGGTGATGGCCGTTTCCACATGGTCAGCCTCTGCTTGATATGGGTGCATAGAGAAAAGGTGGGTCAAGGGTTAGGGAAAGAAAGAAGGGGGAGAGAGAGAGAAATGGGAAAGAATTGAAAGCAGTTTGTTTACATATTCACATAACCTGAATTTGAACAGGATTTTCATAAAGCCCAGTTATATCTTTTATCTACTCCCCCTCCCTGCTTGTCTCCACGAACGATTTAAATAAATTTTGCAACCAAGTCTGTCTGCAGAACAAAATAGGCATATATCTGATGTGGCTTTTCTGAACACTCTTTCAAAGTGCCTCACAGCAATGCAATAATAGCCGTAAAGACCTGTTACGATAGAACCAAAACTGGTATGATTCACTGGACTGAATGATGGACTTATATCACTGTTCATGTCCCAACAATTCATGTACAGACTTATTATGCAACCCTATCCAAATCTCTCAACCGCAGTGTCTTCTTTTCTAAAAACAGAAACAATACTGACTTGCCTGACAAGGGTGTTGTAGACAATGACACATAAAAGAAGATCTTTTAAAAATATTATTATTATTATTATCAATAATAATATCTAAATATTATTTAAAATATTATTATTATCAATAATAATAATCTATATAAATAAAAATGTAATGTTCGTTTGTGGGATTCACATAATTCAAAAACCACTGGATGAATTGACACCAAATTTGGACACAATACCCATATCGGGCCAACAAGTGACCGTCATTCATAAAAACACTGAAAAACACAACAGAAGAGACTTACAAAGCCAAAAAATTAAAAAAAACACATTACAACACATGCGCAAAACCACACATATATACACACAAAGCACATATACAGAGACTGGGCCACAGCAATGCATGGCAGGGGACAGCTAGTAATAATAAGAGATATTTTGCATGGATTTCTCTTCTAGCTTTTTTTTCTCTAAAATAGTCCTTATGAGTAAACCCGGTTTTTTTAATTTTATCATTCCATTATTTGCAATTTAACGCATCTTTAGATTTCTATAACTCTAACCTAAACTCTAGGAGATGTACGGCAACCTTCTCTCCAAATCCATCAACATTGACCACCCATACTATAAAGAGTCCTTGGAAGGACTTAATAATATGTGGGACTAATTTAAAAATACAATCATGCCACCACTGAGAGGACACACTGAGAGGAACGAAATTAACATTAGTCATGGGAAAAGGTGAGCAATAACCACCAGCTAGGAAAGATTTGCTCAAGAAATTCTTCTTTGTGCTCATCAGTGAAGTTAACATTACAGAAGGCTTGGTTGTGGCTCAGACAGGTGGTCCCTAAAAAGAACACACCCGCTGGACACATGTAGGCCTCTCATACAAAGCAACTGGGTCCTTCTTTTCTTTTACTGTGCTCAATCTGTAGGGGAAAAAAGAGGAGAGCCACACAACCTCCACTTGCTTTTCTCGATGCCGGGAGGCAATCCCAGGGACAGAGTCCTTGCATCACCACTGCCAAGAAATTGGTGGGAAAGCTGCCTGAGATGGGCCTCTCCTAGCTGAGCAAAACCAGCTTCGGGAACAAGTCCTTACAGTTGCTAGTGTATGCAATCTCCCAGAAGGCAAGAAAATGTTAACACAGTTTCTTCTGCTTGCCCTGAGCAGGAAAAACTTCTTCCAACAGACAACCCTCAAAGCATGCTTGACCAAACTAGTGGGGTTACAACTAGGGCTGGTAGCACAACACAGTGTGCTCCTCAGTTGGCCAATACCTGAGACAACATAGCAGGCAGCATTCAAGAAAGAATCATAGAATCATAGAGTTGGAAGAGACCTCATGGGCCATCTAGTCCAACCCTCTGCCAGAAAGCAGGAAAATTGCATTCAAAGCACTCCTGACAGATGGCCATCCACAGCCTCTGCTTTAAAACCACCAAAGAAGGAGCCTCCACCACACTCCAGAGCAAAGAGTTCCACTGTTGAACAACTATCACAGTCAGGAAGTTCTTCCTAATGTTCAGATGGAATCTCCTTTCTTCTAATTTGAAGCCATTGTTCCGTGTCCTACTCTCCAGGGCAGCAGAAAACAAGTTTGCTCTCTCCTCCCTATGAGTTACTCTCACATATTTATACATGGCTATAATGTCTCCTCTCAGCCTTCTCTTCATCAGGCTAAACATGCCCAGCTCTTTAAGCTACTCCTCATAGGGCTTGTTCTCCAGACCTTTGATCATTTTAGTCACCCTCCTCTGGACACATTCCAGCTTGTCAATATCTCTCTTGAATTGTGGTGCCCAGAATTGGACACAGTATTCCAGATGTGGTCTAACCAAGGCAGAATAGAGGGGTAGTATGACTTCCCTGGATCTAGACACTATACTTCTATTGATGCAGGCCAAAATCCCATTGGCTTGCATCACAATATTCCCCAGATCCAAGAAAATCCACCAGTCATATTGATGCAGCCATCAAACATTGATGAGCTCTCAATAGCATCGATACACTGGCTGGCTTTTAATGTACGGCACTAAAGGAACATAGAACCAGACTGTGCACCCCTGCTGCTAAATGTGCAGGTGAAAAATGTTTCTGTATGTAAGTTTGCAGGATTTGTATCAGGTAGCACATGAAAACAGAATACGAAGTTAGTTTAAGAAATTAGCAGGTTCTTAGAGGCTACCACTTCCACCAACACAAGACATAAACACTAAACTATCTGTATTCAGATGTCTGCTCAAGAGGTGTAAGAAAAGTAAACCTGGTTTACTTTTCTCAGAAAACCTCCAGCTGCACACATACCTACATAACATGTTTTCAAGTAAATATATAGGATTGCAGGCTAAATCTTGGTCATGTAGGTGCAGCGCTATACAGTGTCACTGAATATATTTTGTCAGTGTCACATTCTTTTTTTTTTCTTTTTCGCTATCTGTTGGGTTTTACTAAACTGTTTTCATTCCGAATACACGTAATCTAAAGCCTCTTTTCTTTGCATATTTCAGTTTTCTGCATTCAATCTCAATGTTTGCAGAATAAAAACTTGAATGTAAAGCTATGAACAACTTTTAAGCAAAAGAAATGCAAATTGATTTTTTTAATGTAAAAGATACTGCAAATAATAAACAATAAAACCTACACTTTGATCTGAATTCATTCTATCAATGTATCCCCCAAGCCTGTGCACATTTATTAAATACCAATAAATGTCAAGGAACCTATTTCGAAGTAAATACACACATTAAACCTTAGATTTTTAAAAATTACTGAAATACATTAAAATGCAGAAAATATGTTTCTGATGGGAGGAGATGAATTCCAGATTCATCATCATGTCATGGTTTGTAATACTTAAAAATTCTGGAGATCCTCATTTATCTAAGTGGCCTGGAAGAAATCCAACATTTCAACAAATAATCCAGTATTATCAAAGAAAACGTTGCATTACCAACCAAAATGCGGATGTGTAATTTGAATAACCAGGAGTTTGGGACAACCAGGGTTTGCATAACATAGCGATGCACTCAAAGCAGCTAATTCAGAGGCTGCTGTGCAGTGAACTTTATTTTTATTACGTCCATATTTATTTCCATTGCAGCCTAATTGAAAAACCACACGAAACATTGTCTTCAATCAGGCACAATTCCCATTGGCTAGCAGGGTTTTGCTTTGAACAAAATTTTTATCATTTGGCCCGATCAATACACAGAGAACTAACAGCATGTAAATAAAAGAGATGAGCCACTGAAGTTTTATCTGGAGATGGGAATAGTAAGCTCTGCAGGGGGAAAAAAATGAACACATGGAAATACTGGCATTGGTGATTTGTTTCCAAATTTCCTGGAGATCTAAAAGCAGCGGGACAATGCAAGACGTTTGTTACAGATCTGAATTGCCGTCACTAAACTGAATGGAGACTTTGCCTTCCCAAAATTAATTGCAATCTATTATTATCATTACTATTTATAAACAAAAAGCAAGGGAGGAAAACCACTGTTTTAACTAGGAAGATAGTTTCACAGCCTCAACCAGAGGCATGGTGGCTTGGAGGTTGAAATTAAGCTAACTTCCCTATCTTAGGGGGACGAGATCACTAATTAGTATGTGAATCATATGTATCGCAAACTGCATCGCTGCCCACTAAGCGCATGCATTATGTAAGAATAAGAAGTATATCAGAGTTCAGCTTGTTATATTCACAGCAGTTCAGATTAAGCCTACGCCAACACCCCTTACAGTCAACGGAGGTGTAAGAACAAGATGTGGTCCAAGGAATAGAAGATGCACGCATGAAAGCTTTTGAGTTTCCTTTACTTACTTGTAGCCAAATTAATCCTCTAGGTAACTCAACGCTAGGCACAATGCATGGTGTGTGAAACCCATTAATTACTTCCCCCCCATCCCTTCCTTCTAAGTTTACTTTAAAAGCAGTTGGTAGACAATGCAACGTAATTAATTTACCAATTTATTTTATGAAAAGGCTCTTTGCCATCGTGAAAATGTAATCATAACCCCAGTGTCGAGCGGGAAGTGAGTGGATTTCTGTGTGAACAGTCACAATGCAAAAGGTAATTATTTAGTGCTTCTGTTCCCTTTAATGATCTAACATTGAGCAATACTGTTTATATTGAAGAGAGCTTGCACCTTTAATTACCAATTACATATACATAATTTTAGAGCCAAAAGGGAAAGAAAGGAAGAAAAATACGAGTGCTGTGAAAAGACTCCTTTAGACAACATACGTACCATTCCTAGCAAGGAATTCCTATTAGGTGGGAGCAGGGTGTCAAAATATTAAAACACACGTGAACAAAAGGAGATAAAGGTAAAAGAATTGGAATAGGCAAAGAAATAGCTCTGAACTAAGGAGGAAACAACAGCTAATAAAGGGGGGGGGGGTTAAAACTGCCTCTTGGTATTGCTTGCACAGTGATTCCTAGTGCAACAATCCAAGTTTCAGTGCAATAACGAACAATACAAATGACAATTGGAATGGCTCCTGGTATATGTTTTCGGATTGTGCGATTTTAAGTAATTGTTTAATTG